CTGCCATGTCACAAAGATGTTTTCAGAAAAAGAGAATAACAAAAGATGAATAAAGACACATTTGCTAAATGATTTTCACCATAACAAATGTCTGCTCTACAATTGTTTTACATACCTTATAGGTGGTCCATGGGAACCTCCTCCAGGGCAGACCTGCACACAGTTGGTCCCGCCAAGGGGCACCACTGACTGCCTACACATCCTCCCCCTCATCCTCCGCCACGTCCTCAACAATATCTGCATCGGGGGCCATGATGTCACCGGCCCCTGATGCAGATATTATGCATTATAGCACATGCTGTAATGACCTGAAATAGCAAAAGTGGCAATATGTTATAACCCCGGAAAATAAGTCATGTTAGGTCATTCAACTGTTTTTCTGTATTATACAAAATCCTGTTGAGTGAGTACTTACTTGAGGAACGAAGGTGTGGTGCACCTCCAGCGCTTTCAGGAAGATGCTGCGAAAGCGGGTCTTCATCATGCCGAAGGCACGCTCGATGATAAAGCGTGCCCGGGAGTGATGGCTGTTAAAGCGCTGGGGTCCCACACCTTGCAGCGGCTGTCTGTACGGAGTGATGAGGGGGAGTGGATGTTGGAGGCAGAGGTACCCCCTGTCTGCGAGGATGTACTGCCCTGGAGGAGGGTAGAGTGCCTGCCGGTACAGTGGACTGTGGCGGAGCATTCTACAGTCATGGAACGACCCAGGCCAGCCCACGTACGTGTCAATGAAGCGGCCCTGATGGTCACAAACTGCCTGCAGAATTATTGAAGGAAAAAGCTTCCTATTTCTATAACGGTGACAATTAAGGCCTCCAGCAGCTTTTCTGAAGGCTCTGTGTCTGGTCAGCCCTGCGAACCCACGCGACACAGCCTTCAGGTCCTCTGCTGTCCTGGGCAGGTAGATAACCTGGTGGCGAATGGCCACCACCTCCTCAGTGACCCTGTGGACAATCCGGTGAACAGTGGATCGAGGCATCCCAAACGCTCTGCAGACCACCCTGTAGGATGTCCCACATGCCAGCCAGAAGAGGAACACCAGGGTCTCGATGGTGGCACCCCATCCGTGTCTCCGTTCCTGACCCAGCAGGTCCAGCAGCGCGTTCAGGGACTCCCTGCTCAGCCGTAAATCTGGCCGTGTGTCCTGGTCATGAAAGAACCTGTCCAGGACAGGGACGGTCAGATTTATCCTGCAGTACAGGGGTCTTGGCTATAAGAAAAGGTGGAGGAAAAAGGGCAATAGAGAATTCTGTGTAAATTGCTTATTTGTCAGTTTATATAATATATGTTTTATCTAAAATAATGCATATTATTTGTATAGCGTTTTAACATACTCAACACTTTAAAGAGTCAAAATTCACAAGACATAATTAAAGCAACCCACTTTAAATACATAAAACACAACTTTATTGACAATAAAGCAGTTATGAAGAGTGGAGTTTTGATATGTGATTTGAACATGGTGAGATGGGACCAATCATGTATTTTGGTGGGTTAGTTCCACATTATATATAATATATTAGATACATAGTTATTCCACATTATGAATCTTAGTAATGGCATTTTAAACATGTATTATATTGTCAAAATGAAACAGGATTAGCCATATGAACTACAGTTGGCATGACTATAGTTTTCTGAAGCCAATATTAACAATAAAGTAAAGGGCTTAAACTATATTTTTCTTACCTGGAAATGGTCTTCTCTTAATCTAAAGTACAGGACTCGCCTGTACTTTGTTCTTGGAACCACATGTTCCATGAACATAATTAACAGCAGCAAAGTCACTTCTCTGGCAAATTCGTTCTCCATCCTTTCGGTCTTCAAAAGAACTGGCTGCTATGCAACAGAGGCGGCAAAATGTAGCGGCGGGATAATTTGCCTAATCCACCCTCAGGGACTTATTCCGGTGTGAACGCGATTTGCTCTTTAATTCATCAGAATGTAAGAGTTCTGATGAACTAAGTACAGCAAAGTACTTGGTGTGAAAGCGCCTAATGTTGGCTAAAGCTGCCCCATTTACTGTTTTTTGTGACAGTTGATTAATAGATAAACTAATCAAAAACTAATCACAAGTGATTGCTTCTCCTTTCGTCAGCTCAATATAAGTCTAGCATTACATCTATAAGCTGTTTATAGAGCCATTCATACTCTGCAATAATACTTGTATAAATAAATCTGAGTCAGGGATGATTTGTTGAAGAAGCAACACTCCAAAAAGATGACAAATCTTTTATTGATGAGAGCCAACTTTACCCTGTGTATTTTTACACTCGTCACCAGCAGCTGGCAATAAAATGAACACAGACACAACTAAACATTATACTTTTATCCAAAAAACAAAAACATTTCCGTTACAGAAACAGTGGTGTGAGACTTCGTCCATTGATATGTAGACTGTATAACAGATCTTAATCAATAGATTGTGATCATCATCCAACAGTCACACAAACCAAAGAACAAATGAAAGCACCGATTGAAAAATTCTGAATGTGACTTTACTCTAAAAACATTTTTATTCAGCAGCGAAACAACACCACAGATCTGAGTTAAAAAAAAAAAAAAAATGATGACCCTCAAGCTATGAACAAATTAATTACGACAGGCTCATTTAATGAAAATCTTCCACATTGCCTCGGACACAAACAGAGGTCCGTCAACCCAGAGGTCTACAAAACGTCTGAATTCAGGACAATCTGCTTAATAGCACGCAGACAGTGTCACACACACACACACTTCAGGTTGGACTGGATGATAAATACAAGTCAGGCGAGCACTACGTCACACAAAAAAGAAAAATTAAAATTAAGTCTCTATGAAAAATTGCTTGGAATCGTGTCAAAAAAAGAACTCTGATTATTTATTTTTTATTTTTTATTTTTTAAATGTAAAAAACGAGAGCGTCACATGGTTCCAGGCGTGACCTCGTGAAACAGTCCCACTTTTTTACATCAATAGCGGCGTCCGAACGCCCCCCCCTGCAGCCCCCCCCCCTGCATCAGCTGGTTCTGTCGGTTCAGTGCGCCAGACAGAGACTGAGACGTGCCCGTGTTCGTGTTCATGTAGCTGCCGCGGCTGCTGGAATTAAAACCACAGAAGAAGACAATCAATACACTGTTCCAGGAGGGGAATGTAATGAAGGACATTTACTACCTTTTTTCCTGAAATACAATTTTGAGGAGCTCATATTTTACCTTTTTCAATGTATTCTTTACTACAAAGCCAATATTATGGCAGGGCAATATATCGATCTCCTGATACCAGACTAGATATCTTGTTAGATTTTGTATATTGTCATAATGTGGCACAAGTGTTGTCTTTTTCTTTTTACAGTAGCAGTGTAGTAAGAGGATGACATTTTCTATTTTTCATCATTTCTCTTTATCCACTAAGTAATTCAATCAATTTTAGAGATGATTATTTAACGGAAATCTCATTGTGTAATTCTTTTTTCTACATTCCAGTGCTTTACTTCAGTAAAAATGGTAGTACTTTTGGTCTCCGTTCTAACAAATAGAGTGCTTGAGGTATAACTCCTTTGCTCACCTGGCCATTCCTCCCCGTGCGATGTGGCTCTGGCCCGGGATGGCTCCGTCTCTACCTGGAGCAAAAAGCAAAACATCAGATGGTTAGAACAGAGGGTTAAACATCCATCTATAAAGCCTTTCAGTAGAATTCAATCCAAAGTGTATGGACATGTCGCACCACTTTCCTTCTGCCTGCTCCTATACTTGTCATCCTCCACTCTTATCCTAGGAAGGCAAACTACTATTCTTCAAAATGTAATTTACAGGTCATGTCTGGAAACCTTTATCGTCAATGTACAATTTCAATGAACTGACGTTTGAAACTAAACTGTAGATTCCCAATCATATCAAGAAAAAGCAGCCCATGCATGAAGTAGTCACCAAATGGCAATGTAGCTATTAGAGTTACATAAATGTACGGTAGTTCAAACTAACTTTGTTTGATGAAAGGAAGCGCTCCTACCCAAATATTTTAATGTAACTAGTAGGGCTGTGCCGAATACCATTTTTCGGGCAACGGATATTTGGTAGAAATCAGCAGCGAATATTCGCCCCGCGTGGGGGGAGGGGGGGGG